AGGTTCTCTAGCCACAGTGAACCTACCAAAGTAAGTCTCATATTTCATTAATTTTTTTTTATTGTTATGATTAATTTACCATAAGTAAAGGGGTTGACTTTGAAAATAGGGCCTTTAGGGTTAGAGATGTTCTCTGACCTTAGAAAAATTATAGAACACTCATAAGCACCTAAGGAATGAACCCTCAAAATTTCAAGTCATGGATTTTAAGTATTTAGGTCTTAATGATTTAATGGTTTTTTTGGGGAATTTAATTAATTAAAAATAAAATACTAAAAATAAAATTATGATTTTTAGATCATAGTTTTCTCATATGTTCACTGAGCACAAATGTATTTTTATGAATTTTCTACACCAAGTTTTGAATTTTTTAAGTTTTTGAATTAATTTAAATAAAAAATAGGCTATTTTCCTACTTATCCACATCGACACTGACTGTATCCTAAGATTTGTTGAAGGAACATGTGACGTGCTGTGATTTGGTGCCGCCATCCAAGTAGCAGTTGAGTCAGCCCCGTAATAACCCTCTGAAGGTTCATCTGGCGCCTCCACCTTTGGATCGATACACGCGTGCAATAGATGACATCCGTTCTTCATCCTTGATAGACCTAACCCGAGAACCACTCGTTTTCTAAACCTAAGATATCCCTCAATACTAAACCAAATTACATGGGGTTTGTTCCTACATGTGCATCTAGTTTAGACGAACACATTGATATGGTTACATGCACATGAAATTAAACTTTTCTTCATAAAGTTCTAAACTGAGCTCAAATTAGGCTTGAACAGTCGATTTGAGTGGTTGAAAATGGTGGGGCTAAACTCAGGAAGGCTAGAGGAAACTCTTGGAGCAATTTGGAGAAGTTTTCCTAAGGAATAGGCTACACTCCCTCCTTGGATTCGTTATGAGGTCCAATTTGATGAAATTTGGAGGAATGGATGGCCGGGAGAGATGGTGGTTTAAATAGAGGAGGAATTAGAACTTAATTGGCCGAGCCAGGGGATGGAGAAGGATGCTTAGGTAGAGGGTTGAGTAGCGCAATTCACCAATGGAGATGAGACACAAATGATGGGTACAAATTTGGGTTTGAGCTAAGCATGGCCTTCTCAATTTTGGGTTTTTGGGCTATGTCAGAGGAGGTGGCTAGCTGATTCAGGAAAGGCTTAATGATGATTAGCTTTGTAGTTTGATGGCTGATGGCATGGGGTAGAGAACTTATCCAAATTAAGATATGTGTTTGCATAATTTAAGAGACCCTTAATCCATTGCTAAAAAATTGGGTCCTTGGTGATTTGATTAGGATCCAAGGGGGCTAATCAAGGTAGGAGATAATTAAGCTTGGTTAATTTCAATAGTTTGTTTGAACTTGGATTTTAAGTTCAAAATTAGGGTTTGGGCTAAAAGTTAGATTTGGGCTTAACTTGGGCTTGGTTAAAAAATTGATTGAAGGGTTTAATTGGTCTATGAGAATGTCATGAAGATTTAAGAAATGAAATTGGGGAAATTGAGATTATTGAAGGCCTCAATTTAATGGAATTTTGGCTTAAGGTCAATATTAGGGCAATTGGTTTGGGCTTAGATTTATGTTAGGCTAGAGTTTGGATCTAGACCAATTGAGGGTTTAATTTGGTCCAGGAGAATGTTATGAAGAGTTTAGGATTCAAAATTGAGGGCCTTGGATTCATTATGAGGTCCAATTTGATGAAATTTGGAGGAATGGTTAAATTGGGGATTTTGGCAAAAAATTGAAATTAAGGTTTGAAGGCTGGTTAAATTGGGCCCCAAATTGGTTTAGATTGAGGTTGGACAAGTTGATGTTCAATTTGGGTTCGAGATTGGGTGAGTTTGAAGTGATTTTGGTGGAAATTGGGATGAATTTGTGGAATTTGGGCCCTGAGGGGCTAAATTGGGAATTTGGTCAAAATTGATCAATTTAGTCAAATTGGGCCCATTGGGTGGTTAAACTTGGTTTAGAGGAGGTTCGAAATGATTTGGGAGGTTTCGAGAACTCTTTGGACATGAGGGGTATTTTGGTAATTTTGATAAATTTTGGGGTATTTTGGGAATTTTGAGGAAATTGGGTTAAAAGGCCAAAATTGGGTTTTTAGGTGGAATTGAAGGCTATTGGCTATGCCAATCACAAGGTTACCTTTTTTGAGCCTTGAGACCAAGGGGAAGCTCATTTTGTACACTTCATGTGTGGGTCCTTGCCACCTAGCTAAAGACTAAGAGCTTGGGGACCACCCACATGAGTTTTCAGAAGAGTCAAAGGAAATAGGTTCAATGGGTGCAGTCTCAAGGTATTATGACAAGTGAAGTGTTGTGATTTGCTTGAGTGTGTGAAAGACCAAACCCTTGCCACCCAGGGCTACCCTATGTTCAACAGTCCTATGAGGACTCATCCTTGAATCCTCACAAGTTGGCCTCGGCCTTCCAAGTGCTAGATGTTCATGATGATCCCATGTGGGTTCCACAGAGAGTAAGAAAGTGGTTTGAATTTCTATGTAGGTGGATTCCATGACCTCGCCAAAATTGAGGTCAACAAACAGACCTCCAATAGGTCTGGTGTGCTAACTAAGCACACCGTGTGTATTGACATTGATTGAAGAGATTAGAAAAACCAACACAAACATTCCAAGCCAACACACTTAGAACAAAATGAAGAAAGAGTAAAGAAGGTTTTCGTTGGGGAGTATTAGCTGAATCTTTGATGGAAACTAAAGATTCTGGAACTCTCACTGAGGATTAGAGGTTGTGCCTTCGAATATTCAAATTGAAAAGGGGATTTAAATTTTTATTGTGAGTTCATGTTCGTGTTTCTTAATCCTCATGAAGGGTTGTTTTATAAATTCACAGAGAAAACCATCAGGGAAACTGATGGTTGTAGTGAATATTTGATTTGTTTCATTTCATTGTTTGATTTTGATTTGATTTGTTTTTTGTTGAAATTTTAGTTTAGATTTTTATTTTGAGAAAGTTTTTGGAATCAAGGATAAGTGAAGAGACCAGATTGAGATGGAAAACACAGAGACTCACATCCAAATCAAAAGACTGATCAAGGAAAAATGTACTACATTAGAAAAGGGAAGCACAAAGACTTACATACAACCCAAGAGGTAGTGAAAGCGCAAGTCACATTAGGAAGGAAAGCACATGGACTCACATCCAACCCTAAGAGGTGACGAGGGGAGTTAAGATGAGAATAGGCTACCTTACTCCATTTAAGGGGGTCTCATACCTATCTT